GCCCAGACTAACATGGCTACATCTCTTATTACGTTTTTTTTCAGTACTGTTTCTTGCCCCCCCGCGGCCCCCCCCCGATCTCTGCCGGACAGTCCCACTGCCCCCAACCCTCCTTCCCGGCAGCCGGTTCCCCCCTCACACACACCTCCTCCCAGCCCGTCCTGCTCCCCTCCCAGCAGCCATGCTAAGGTCCGGTATTTTTTTCCCACGGCCCATAGTTTGGGAAACGCTGATCTAGATGGTGCTTGGTCCTGCCATGAGGGACTTGAGGACCTCCCAAGATCCCTTCCAGTTCTAGAATTCTATGATAAAATCAGAAGCATATTCCCTCTCAATGTTTCATCTTCTGGCTTAGAAAGCAATAACAAGACATGGACATTTCAAGGTGGACTCAACCGATGTAAATCCCTGCAGTTACAGTGATTTGAAGCACCTGAGTCTTTGGATGCCTCACTCTACCCCGGAGGTGACTGCATTGTGTTGTACGTGCATAAGCGAAGTCTAGTCTGCAATTCGGTAACGTACCCTGATGCTTGCAAGAAATACTTCTGATGAAATGCTGTAACAAGACTACAGCCAGCTGGAACGTTTCTAACTGACTGAAATGTCATCACACTAGGAACTTTGACCAGAACTGAAATGTTTCATGGAGGCGTGTTGGGTTTGAAGATGTTTGCTTGGGCATGCTTTTGAAGAGGAAGAAGTCATCCACTATCGACTGGTGCTTAGGGCGCTGCTCTGGGCGGTGGGGGAGGCAGAGTCAAGTCTGTGCTCTCTCTCATCCAGAGCATGATTGAAAAACCTCTGCTCTTAATCAGGAAGAGTAAGGGCTCCTCCGGGCAGTGTCTGGGCCAGCAGGTATCACATTCAAAGCTCTGGTCTCCATCCAGACTTTCTGACATGATTCCGTTTTCATAAAAAATGCTTGGAAGGTTTGGGTTTCTTTTGAGCGTAGAACAAAACCCAAGTCTGAAACTTTGAAAGCTGCAGGGGAACTGAACTGTGATTATCTTGTTATCTCCAAGACATAGACTGTACATAAATGGACTGCAAAAAGAGACATATACAAAGCACCATAAAGAGTGGGGCAGTACAGCGAGGTAGAGCTATGCATTGGTATCCAATCAATAACTTTCCTCATGGGCTGAACTGCTCCCTGGCATGAGTGGAATGGGAACACCTGTCCTTTAAAGTATTATTTCTGTTCCCTGAAGACTCAATAGTAAAGCCAATACACAAGGGGTTGTTCGTAGTGTTTGTTGAGAGCAGTTTGAATGAAGCTGATATGTGTTAGGATAAACACCATGAACTTGGGAAGAGTTTTTGTTCAAACTGGATTCGGATGGAGAAATATCCATTTGCCTTTCGGAAACTTCCACAGTGGAAATCACGCGCCCCCTTGACTGAGTGGAGATTGAGACTAGAACTCATGGGGTAACCTCTCATTTGAAGGCAGTATAATGCAGCCACTTCCTCAGGAATAGGCGAGGTAGCTGGACAATCTCCCAGGTGAAGTGGCAGGTGCTCAGGGTAAGAGCTAGCGTAGCATTGCTAGACAGTGACGCTGCAGCGTTCACATGTAAATAGCAGCGCAGCAATTTGAAATTTTTCTTACCATAGTGCGAATGTGTTACCATTACAAATGGGTTTTATTCTCTCATTGCCCTGCGGTACAAAAACCTCTACCCACGTTTTGCAGGTAGATCATTGTGGTGTGGCAGTGGTCCACTCTGGAAAGGGAGGGACCAAAGCAGCCTACGAGAGGCTATGCTAGTGTTTCTTAAACTTTTTAAGACCAAGGAACACCAAACAAAAACAAGTTTTATGAAGAACACCAAGGATTTTTTGTTGAGGGGGGGGGGAAAAAAAAGAAAGAAAGAGTCAGGGGGAAGGTTATTGAGAAAAAAAAGTCACCTGCCCCTTTAAGGATGGACATTTTGAATTATCTTGTTCTCTGCGGCACACCTCCAACTGCCTCACACCGCGGAACACAGTTTAAGAAACACTGGGCTATGCAGATCCCAGCCAATGTGGAGAGGGCTTATAGGAAGCCAGTCCAGTGAAGGCTTAGATTTTTGCCCTGGTTAGCCACCTGGGGCTGAGGGGCCTCTCTCCACACAGCAGCTGCTGGAGGTGGGAGCTGCGGCCAGAGAGAGAGGCAGCGGCAAACAGCTGTTTGCTGCATAAGGAGCAGCTGCTTTTACTGTTGCCTCTTCCCAGGGCGTAAAGGAGAGGCCTGTCCTCCAAGGTCACAGAGCTGACCTGCTGAGAGCAAGAGGGCAGCATGCTTGGTGGGCCATGACTCAAGCTATTGGGGGGGAGCAAACCTTTACATTGTGCCCCCCACTCTCAGCAGGCTTCACGCACCTCTGGAGCACCACAACCCTGCTGCCGGGCAGAAGCCCCGAGATCCCTGCTCTGAGAATGGAGCCGTCTCTGAGTGGGAAAAGAGCTGCCGTTTGGCCGTTCCTACTCTCCACACTGCAGGTTCTCAGTTCCTCCTGCCCGGCCCTGGTGATCTCTTACTGCAGAAGCCCCTTGCGCAGTGTAAAGAAACCAATTCATCCTACGGGGAGAACAAAAAGCGAGGAGCTCTGTGTCTCCCAGTGACTTGCTGTGGCTGCAGCAAGGTCTGGATGATGCAGCGTTGGGGCCTCATTCCAGCAACGCAGGTATTCGATGAGTTAACATGCATGGCAGGTTTTTTAAAAAAATTAGCTACATGCAAAACGGCCAATTATTCCTATTCCGACATCTCGGTGATCCACACAGCTGAGACTTTCAAATCCATTTCCTTCTTTGGAAAGATTTACAGGTGGGCTAGTCTCCGGAGCCAAAGGGAGTTAGGAGCCAAAATTCAACAGCATTAGGCACCTACCTTTAAACTCATTTGAAAATTCTAGCCTAAAGTACAATTTAATTCCCAAGCACCTTCAGTAGAAGGGCTGGGATGGAGGAGAGGCTGTTATTCTGGCCTGTGTTGAAGTCAGAAAATGGAAGTGTCTATACAGTAATTATATTATTCTAATTACTCTGTTATGCAGGATAGGTTTTGTTCTTTTTTTCATGGTTTCTGCCTGGTCTGGTTTTTAAAGACAGATTTCCAAGTGGCATCTCCAACCACAAAAGCTATTCAAAACCATGTGCAAGCTGTGATTACTTAAAACACAAAAACCCCAACCCAATCGCAATTTTGCTGAAGCTAAGAGAGCTAGAACTTTTCTG